GGGAATTTACCCAAAAAACCAAAATCATTAATCTAAAAAGATATATGCATGCCTATGCTTATCATAGCATTATTTACATAGCTAAAATATGGAAACAACCTAAATGTTCATTGATAGAGGAATGGCTAGAAAACATGTGGCCACACACACATATGGAATATTAATTAGACATAAAAAATAATGAAATTTTGTCATTTGTAACAATACAGATGGACCTAGAGTGGATTATGCTAAGTGAAATATAAGTCCATCAGAGAAAGGCAAATGCCATATGATTTCACATATATGTGGACACTATAAATAAAACAAATGAACAAATAAAACTGAAATAGGCTTATAAACACAGAGAACAGACTGGTGGTTACTACAGGGGATGGGGTGAGAGGATAGGTGAAATAGGTGAAGGGGAAAAAAATGAGGATGTTTGATATCTTCATCTTGGAAATGGTTACCTGAGTGTATACACATGTCAAAATTTATGAAGCTGTACACTAAGATTTGTGCATTTTATTATATGTATGTCAATATAAAAACATTTTAAAAATTAAAAAGATATAAAAAGATTATAACAATGATACCAAAATCTAAAAGAAACAAAACAGTAAATAAAAACTGTTGTATGATGTCTTTTATGAACTTACATACAAATATTTAAGCAAAATATTTGCAAATGCATCAGGCCAAGAGGGTGTTTTTCCCAGGTTTGATAGGTTGGTATACAACTTTAACAACCAAAAAAATCAATGAAATTCACCACAATGGAATAAAGAGGAAACTTACAACATTTCAATAGATTTAGAAAAAATATTTGATAGAATTTAATAATGAGTCATGACTCTCAGCAACTTAGGGATTTAAGTTTACCTGATAAAAGGTATGTACATGGTAGTGTGTGGAAGAAATGAGTAGACAGAACACAGAGGATTTTTAGGGCAGTAAAATTACTCTGTATATTATTATAATGATAGATATATGACATTATGCATTTGTCCAAGCCCACAGAATGTAAAACATCAAAAGTGAACCCCAAAAGTAAAATATGGAGTTTGGATGATGATTATGTGTTAATGTAGGTTCATCCATGGTAAAAAAATAGAAAAACTAACATTCTAATGAGTTATGTTGAAAAAGGGGACTACGTATGTATGGGGGCAGAGAACAATGGGAAATCTCTGTATCTTCCTCTCCATTTTGTGGTAAACCTAAGGCTGCTCTAAAAAGATAAAGCCTTAAAAAAATCAATGAGAAAAGACAATATGAATAGAAAATGAGCAAAGTATATGAATAGGCAATTCATGGAAAACATAAATGGCCAAACACATGTACAATCAAATTAAAATGAAGTATCATGTACAAAAAGAAATGAAAATATGTACAAAGCAATACAACTAACATCACATTAAAGGTTGAACACTTTTACCCTCAGGTAAGTAATGAGGAGGCCCAATATTATAAGTTTTATTCAGCATTACATTGAAGGTCTTAGTGCAATTACGTAAGAACAACAGAAAAAGTATGATTAGAAAAAAAAAAGAATTATTTTCTGGAGATGACATGATGTGTATATAGAAAATCTCAAAAATATAGAAACTGCAGAAGTTAATATTAGACTTTCACAAGTTTGTACAGTATACACTAGCATAAAAACACTAGAAAATACTACCCTAAAAACATCACTTGAAACTACATTATAATTCATAATGTGCCTAGGAATAACTCTAACCTATGTTTACACTAAAGTAGTATAAAACCTGTACACTAAAATCTACAAAGAATTGGTGTTAAAAATGTAAAAAGAAATAAATGCAGTGATATACCATATTCATAGATTGGAAAATAATCTCAATTTTCCCAAAACTAATCTAGGAGTTCAAACCAATCCCAATCAATATCTAAGTAAGATTTTTGTAGCAATTAGAAATCTGATTCCAAAAGTTATATGGAACAAATTTTGAAGAATTGAAATACTGAAACTTCTGTTCACTTAAATACACCAATGAGCTAGAAGTCAAGCCTCCAATCAGAAAAGGATATTTGATTTGCAACATAGATGTCTGACAAAGGACTCATGACCAGATTAGGTAAATAACTTTTGCAAATCACAAAGAAAAAGAAAAAAAACCAAAACACAGGTGTGAACAGGAATTCACAAAAGAGCATATCCTAATGGCCGTAAGCATATGAAAGGGCACACGGCATCACCAGCTGCCATGAAATTTCAAATTAAAAGCATGAGATACTATGACACACCAATCAGAATGGCTAAAATGTAAAAAGCCAGACACAAATTTTAGTGAGTATGTGGGATAACTGAAACTCTTGGACTGCTAGTTGGAGTGTAAATTGGTACAATCCAGGTTTGAAAACTGCAAGTGTCTGCTGAAGTTCAACAAATTCCTATCTTATGGATTAGTAACTCTATTCCACATAAGTTCCCTTCAGAAATATGCACATATGTTAACTAAAACACATGTACAAATGTGTACACAGCAGTATTATTTGTAAGAGGCCAAACCTGGAAACAAACCACATGTCTATCACCATAGAATGGATGGATAAATAATGGTGTATTCCTATTTGTATTCCTATTTTAAGAAGCTGAGATCTGCAAACTCACAAAATTGTTCATCTATTGGCACACCGATGTCTGCATTTGCACAAGTAAATTTGCCCTTTTCAACCTCAAGCTTGATTCCTATTAAAAGCCATCTATCCAGTACATTAATCCTTAGCAATGCATAGAAATACATTTCATGGTACCAGAAAGAGTGGAGGGATTGGTGAAGGGAGTCTGTGTGCTGTGGGGGAGCAGGGGAGAAAATTGGGGAGTATCTGGGAATGCAAATGCAAAAAAAACACATGTAACTAAAGGAAATATGGGGATAGGTATCAAAGACAAACACCACCTGTTTCATAATATTGCTTCAGGTACACATTGTAGGAATATTAGACAGCAAAGAAAATGAAGTTCTACTACGTGTAACATGGAAGAATCTTATAAACATGATACCAAGTGAAAGAAGCCAGTTACAAAAGAGTATGTTCTGTACAATTACGTTTATATGGAGATCGAAGGAGGGCAAATTTAATGTACGGTGTTAGAAGTCAGGAGAGTGGTCTGGGAGGGTATTATGACTAGGAGAGGGAACGAAGGAACCTTCTTTGATACTGATAATATTCTATTTCCTGATGTAGCTCACAGGATGGCAAACGTTTTCTTTAAAGAGCCAGGCAGTATATACTTCAGACTTGGGGGGCCAGTTTCTGTTACAACTACTCAAATTCTACTGTTGTAGTGCAAAAGCAACTATGGATAAGTATGTCAGTAAATGGGTGTTGCTGTGTATCAATAAAACTATTTACAGAAACAGGCAGGGGACTGAATATAGCCTTTGGGTAGTAGTTCACCAACCTCTCACCTACCTACATAGATTGGTTACATTTGAGTATAAATTTGTGAAAATTCATTAATCTATATGCTTATGATTTATATACTTTTCTCACTGTATATTATATTTCAGTGAATAAACTAAAAAATAACAAATCAGGAAAGTCACTAAGAAAATAAGAAAGTGACAAGAACAGACGTAAGCAGTTAGGATTCACTAGTCTGCTTGTGATGTTTCTGTGATTGTTTCTTGCTACAGACATTCTGTGCTTTTGGAGCACTACCAGTTCTAGCCACATCAAAATTGTTTTCAAGCACTCGGTATACCAAAATTAGTGTTCATTTCCTTCTTTATGGGAGAGGAGTCCATTAAAAGACCTCCAACTGGCTAGTTCTCTTAATGAATTCCATTTATTAAGCTTTATTATTAATGCCCAAATCGATTTCTTCTTCTAGTTACATCATTCTGCCATTCTATAATTGAAATTCTAAAAAACATCAGTAGATACTTAGGACGTAAGCAATCTAAGAAACATTAAGCATCATTTCTAGCACTCCTTTAATTTTCTGACTCTCCCAGAAAGAACTGCTTCTTTCAGAAGTGATGCATCTTGCCCATCGCTACCCCCACCTCTTTGGCAATGTTACAGAGTTTAAACATAAAGGAAAAAGAAAAAAGCCTGTACACATTTAATAGATCTGCTAAGGGATTTTGTTAGCTTTTCTCCCCCGGGATATAAGGAGAATTGGAAAACATGTACCACGGCAATACTATGAGTCAGGCATTGTTCTAAGCTCTTTTCATTCATTAACTCATTTAATCAACACAGAGACCCAGTGAAGAGGTTACTTTAATTATTACCCCCACTTTAGAGGTGAGGAATTTGAGTCAATGAGGGATGAAGTAATTGCCCAGGGTTTCAGAGTTAATAAATTATATGGTGGGATTTGAACTCAGGTAATCTGTTTCCACAGTGCATGCTCTTAGGTACATGCTAAGCTAAACAACTTGGGTGTGATTATGAGAAATCTGAGGCCTTAAATTTAAGTGTGGCATAGCTTAAGCATTCCAACCTCCCTGCCATCCACCTCGAAGAGAAATGACAGTCCCCACTTTAGCCCCAACCAATTCATATTGCAGCATGTGTGACACTACTGCACTTTCTCTGTATATCCCTGGCTTTCCCCCATTAGCCTATGTGCTTTTTGAAAGCTGGGACTGTGCCTTAGTCCTCTTTGTATTTCTAGTGCCAAACATAGTGTCTGCCTGGATATAACATGACTCAATAGATGTCTACTGATTAAGCTAATCAATCACACCAGGAGTGGCAATTCCTTTTTCTTTGGTTCACCAACTTCTACAGTTCATACTAATTTCTGGCGATTTATTGCAAAGGACAGGACACAAAGTCATGAAGAGTTTGATGTGACTAGGCTCCTGGCATGATGTCTATAGACTGAGCTTCTTAAAGCAAGACATTCCTTCCTCTGTGGTTAGCTCAAGGATGCCCACACACTGCTGGCCTTGATAATGGGCATATGGTTAGTAGAATGTAGCTAGAGATAGAAATTGCATTTATAATTAATAGGATTAAAGAAGATATGTTTATACTCATTTCTAAGTATTCATCGAAGAGTCCATAGGCATTCATCGGCTGGAGGTTGTAGTCCTTTTCCCATTGTGGGAAATGTATTTTCCTTTCAGGTCCGTGTTCTTGTCTTACTTTTCTTCTAGTCCACCAATTCTGAATTAACCTGCACAACAAGATCAATTCCTTTAAAAAAATAAGTAATAAGAAAGAGGAGAGTTCCCCTGTAGAACCATAGTTTTTAAAAATTTAGGACAAGCTGCCAAGGAAATAAAGCTTTGGATCAGGGAGAAAATAACAGCAGAGGTTATACATCAAGCCCTTGTATGTACACATGAACAGAATGACTCATGAACTTATTTTAATCATTCATGAAACTATCATGTTCACTGTTGCCTGTGAGGGTCGGATAGAGGACTGAGAATATCTATAAACCGATGCCCCTGTATGAAGGCAGTATACCTCCAAGTACAGGAAGATCTGACCCAGCTCATTTAGTCTGGGGCCCATCGGCAGGCTTACCATGTGGGTGCTGACCTGCACATTCTGCCTTAGGGACCTGGAGGACGTGCAAACCCACCGAATGCTTCTCCTCTTGGCACCCTGAAGCCTGCATCTCTGCACCTGGCCTCGCCTGCTTTCAGCTTCAGCTTGACAGGGGGTGACTCCCAGTAATGTGCACCTCGCACTGGTGAGGTTAGCACATTAATCCTTAACACTGTGCAGGGTGCATCTTATGATATGGAACAGGGTTGAGGAAATGGTGGGTTGTCAGGTCTGTGTGCTGTTGGGAGGCCAGGAAAAGTTAAATGATATCCAGAAGTACACATGCCAAAAACAAACAGAAAAACAAACAAAAACCCAAAACATAAACAAAAAAACTAAAACACAAAACCTAAACCAAAATATGAAATAAAGGATGGACATCAAAGACAAGCTCTGCCTTCTCCACCATCTTGCTCTATGCCCATATTACTAGAAGATAAATATGGTTCCCCTGAGGTCTGTGACATTTAGATCAAGTATGGTTTGTACTTTAGAGTAGAATTAAAAAAATGCTTCTAGTTTTTTAATTGTATGCTTTGTTTCTAAAAAGTTTTATAGAAAACTTCCAACACTTGGAATAAGCTTTCTAAAAATAAACCTAATAATACAAATTTACTGGCATTGGTTCTGACAGGGAGCTAAGAGATGACTTGCCTGAAGTGAACCAAATTCTAGCTCATTGTTCTGGCTGAGTGGTCCTCCCTGAAGCCTGGAGTACTTGGAGACACCGAGCTGACAGGTGGTGGAATTTGAGCAGAAATAGAAGTGCTGCTGATTTATATCCCTCGAAAACCAGAGCTAAGCAAGAATTCAAGGTTATCCTTACAAAGTTGATGCAAGGTTTTGCCTGTTGTCATCACCCAGGTGATAATATTTTTACCAGTTAAGAGACGTTGACTTAGAAATACTCTTGTTTTTTTACTGAATCTCCAAACTTTTTTCTTTTCCGTATGTTTCTCTTCTGGTCAGATTTAAGAAAAAATCACCGTTCCTGGTTTATCACAGGGGGTGGGGAGTAGAGCTCTAGTTAACGTGCTATAAATAGCTAGGGATTTGCAGTGCTGGCACCAAAAGGGTCAGGGGCATCATTTAAAGCACACTGCAAGCAATGTTTACATTTAGAGGCCATAGAGAATTCTTAAAGAATATTCACTTGCGTTCATGTGACTTGTGCTATATCTTCCAAAGAGCCAATGTCTATTATTTTCCTGTCTTTGAATAACTAAGCATGACTGCTTAGCTGCAGGTATACACACGCCTGCACTGTGGAGTCTGCATTGCTTATTTTACTTGCCACACCTAGAAAAGCCAATAATGAGCAATGCTGCCCCTCCACTGTCGACACCCAAGATACTTACGGGTAGCCAAGTTCCATGAAATTATTCCAGGTCTGCTTTAGCACCATTATAATACCCATTTGCATACAGAGATCAATAAGGCATCCACTAGGGTGGCACTGCGAGGTAAGCAAACACAGAAAGGTAAGAATCAGTGGAGAGGAAGAAAGGGTGTCTGGTTTCTAATCTGCACAAAGTTGCCCTAAGGCTGTTTCACATAAGCCATAGGAAACAAGGAATGATGGGAGAATACAGACCTCTTCTAGTCTCCATCTGTTTATCAGCCTCAAGTAGGCACCTGGGTGTCCTGTAAATCTTCAACACAGAGAAAAACAAACCATTAGCATCCTGTAGGTCTAAGCTTTCAGTGCATATTGTATTCAGATTAGCACATCCTCCAGTGAAAAGTACTGATACAGTAAGTATCAGGTCTGAGGGAATGAGGAAACTCTTCAAGAGCTGTCATAACTGCAGCTTCTGGAATTCTCCGGGAGAATGTTTCTCTTCTGGACTTTCTGTTTGGCTGTGACTTTGAACATTTTCTGCCTAATATCCAGTGCTCTGGCCTATGTAAGCAGCAGGTTGGAGTGAAACACATTCTTATCTTGTTGAATAATAGCTTAATTTAAGAACAACCAGCCTTTCTAATGGATTCGAATCCCATGCTGGAGTAGTTAGGCACTGAGGAGAGGCTGCAGCATCCATCTCACCCAAACCCAGTACTTACCCTTTCCTGCTTTCTCAGCTCCTCCTGGTCTAACAGGGAATTCACAAAACACAAACACCGAGGGTCCTTCCCAATCCTCCTAACTGCTGGACTCAAAACCTGCTCAGTCGGACCCCCGCTGGCGTCCTGTGTCAGCCCCTTCCCTTCTGGTCGTCCTTCCCTCTCCTGTGAAGTCAAGCATCTAGAACGTGCTGCAGGCCCTGGTGCCCCTTATGCCACCTGCTCATGTGGGTGTGAGATCCAGCTTTATCCTCCCACAGGTACAGATGATTTTCCTCTACTTATCAAGAAAACGTACGCAGGTACTTTTTAGTGAAGGAGACCTTTCCCAAGGAATGGATATGGGAAAGGAAAGGAAGCTGATCTCTTTTCACCCTTGGTGTGGATCTACTCTGGAGGGAGGGCTTCTCTGTCACCCTGGTCAGTGACCCCTGAGTGCCCTGTCTCCGGCCTGGGGAAGTGTGGAGAAAGCCAGTTCTCACCTTCCGAGGAAGAACGCGATGTAAAATGTGGAGCTGTTCAGATTGACAAACTGAAAAAGAAACATTTTCAGGGTGAAGCTGTTCTCCCACTCCGACTCTGTGCGAGGCTGCTCTGTGGGCAGAAGGGGAGCAGAGTTTGAGAAGCAGCATCTGGCGCTCTCACTACGCCCTCTGTCCTGCTCCCCATACACACAGGGTGGGAGCAGAGGCGCCCTAAGGAGGCTGCGGGAGACCCCAGGTGCCTACACACGGTACAGGCTGGGGTGGACCATGCACGGGCTCCTCAGCTTGCAGACCAGCCCTAACAAGGGTTTGGGAAGTGGTTCCTGACTTGTCTGAGCAGATGGAACGTCCAGTCGGCTCCACTGTTACGGGAGCCGGAGGGCCTGGCGCCGAGACACGCGGGCTGAGGGGCCTCATTCCCAGTCCTGGATCGCTCGCTGCAGGAGCCTTCCTTTTGCTCTTAGTTTCCACGGTGGGGCAGGGCCTGTGTGGGGTCAGGTCCCCTTCTAGCTCCTAATAACTCCTTGGTCTTGACTTCAATTTCTGGTGAAATGCCAGGCGCTACTGGGCGAGAGGGAGTCAGACCCCCATCCCAGAATGCTGAGTGTTCTGACTACTTTGCCTGTCACCCTCATCCACCATTTCTCATTTCATGGACAAATGCCAAGGAGATGGCCTCACCTTTAGAGCTTTTACTGTGTACCACCATCCGTGTCTTCCAGTTTCCTGACCTTAGTCAGGCACCAGTTTTCATCTCCTTACATTTTGACTTCCAGAACGCAAATGATCTTTGGACATTGCGATAGGAACCAAAGTATAGATCAAATCTCCAACTTGCACTCTCATGTCAAATGCACTGAACTGTTCCTAGGAGCTGCATCCGTACCCCAAGCAAGATCAGAGAAAATGTATTTTCTGTTTTTTGAAAGAAAACTTTCTCTGTTCCCACATTCCTGAGCTTCTAAGCGCTTATCTACCATTTTACCCATCAATTCCTTTTCCATGAATTATAACTCAAAATGCTTCCGGAGAGCATACTGAGAAGGGAGGAGAGACAGAAAGGGAAATGGCTTAAATGTTAATTTCTGAAGAAGGCTCTACTGCTGCTGAGGGAAGAACACACAAAGGCTTCTGGCAGGGTTTTAGTTTTATTTCATTTTCTGCTACCAAACTCCTGATGGCATAGCCATGTCTCCTGAGTTGTCAGCGAGCTGCGTGGGTTCCCAGGTGTTCCGAGCACGGGTGGACCAGAGCTGTCTCTCCACTGGCACCTTTGCTAGGCTGGGTCAGCTGCCACTGGGTACAGTCTACCAGGTGCAGAGCTACGCCTTCTGTGGGCATAAATCTCTGTCATTTTAGGCAAGGGGTAGTAGTGATGGAAGATCTCAATGATATTAAAGGCAATATGCCAGTGCCTAGCCCTGTATCTGGTATATAGAAGGGGCTCAATAAATGGCATCTTGTATTATAATGATTATTATAGTAAATAAAAGCACTTCTGTGACCTTTCCCCCCTCTGGATAAGCTATATATGGGAATGTGCTAAAATAGGTTACATGCGGGGAGAATGTCATTTTCTCAAACTGCATAGAGTAAAATGACCAATGTCTTATTAAGAAAATTGGGACAACTTCTCTATTTTGAAAACATGGAAAATATACAGCTTATAGCTGGCTACCAGATTGTTCTAGTATTTTATGGAGTCAGAGAAATGTCCTTTGGGGAGACTTGTCAATGATGGCTACTCTGCCTACATTCCTGGGAATGAAGGCTCCTAGTCTTCAAAGCAACTAACTTTGCATAACTTCTTTATACCATAAAAAAGTTGATACATTTTTCATTAAATAAAAACTGTAGGCAAAGCAAATGAATGTTTTTCTTACTGATTCTGAGCAGTTTATACACATGTACTTTTGTGATGCTATTTTTTGTGCATAGAGAAAAAACCTACTTTAAATCACAGTAGCTCATGATGGATAATGTTTGTGATAGGTTTTAAAGTTTTAGATAGAAAATATCCTCCAATTACTGGACATCTTTAAAATGTCCTGTTAAGGGCAAAGAACAAATTGGTTTATGAAATTCAAAATAAAGGGAATCTTTCTTTTCAGCAGTGTTTCAGAAATAAATCTTTGAAAAGGTACTTTCTAGACCACAATATTATACTGGGAAATTAAAAGGGTTTTACTTACCTAAATTTGTCAGAAAAAGTGCAACTTTTTCATAGAGCTGTAAAATAAATTTCATACATGTAACAAATGAACTGTAGATGTTCTAAAATCTGTAATTATAAAGGATATGGGTAATAAAGTCATAAGTGTAAATAATTTCACTAACCATGCATTGCTCAAACATTGAAAACATCACATACAAACGTTTCCTTCAGAAAGAAAAGGATATGTACAGAAAGAAAAAAATGCACAAGGTTCCAATTTACCATTTAAAAAATCTCACTTCTGTTTTAGAGTGAGAAATTCTGTGGCTGAAAGACTAGCTGCCACTAATTACCAGCTTGCTAAGTGATGCAAGACTGCTGCTGATGGTAAGATTCTATAACCCTATGTTTCTAGGCTACTATGTTTTTTTAGAGTACAGCATTTATAAATAGTGAAGTAATAAAACATTACTGGAAATTCCTAAACTTATGATACTCTGCTTTTCTGTTGAATGCATCCAGTAAATGGAGGGTCTTAAGAGGGAAAGGAAGGGGTGTGTGTGTGTGTTTGTGTGTGTATGCGTGTATGCGTATGTGTATGGAAGAGCAGAGGTTCAGGGCAAACCCACCTGCAGGAGATTCCCCAGAGGGTATAAATTGAGAAAAAGAACAAGTGCCTTCTTTACAGTGGAAGATGGTAAATTAAAACGAAAAGGTAAACTAGTTAAATTAATATGAACAATATGAAAACTAAGACCACATGTAGACTAAAGTAGTGTAAATGCACTGGTTAAAATTCCCCAGGCTGGAATTATAACTTTACCAGCTAGCAAACTACAGGGCTTCGGCACATTGTCACCTCTTCTTCAGACCATTGTTTTCCGTACAGGTATACCTCAGAGATACTGCAGGTCTGGTTCCAGACCACTGCAAGAAAGTACATTGACTCACAATAAAGTGAGTCAAGTGAATATTTTGGTTTCCCAGTACACATAAATGTTAGGTTATATTATACTATACTGTAGTCTATCAAGTGTGCAATGGCATTGTCTAAAAAATGTACATACCTTGAAAAATATTTTATTGCTGAAAAATGCTAACCATCATCTGAGCTTTCAGTGAGTCATAACCTTTGCTGGTGGAGGGACTTGCCTCAGTGTCGATGGTTGCTCACTGATCAGGGTGGTGGTTGCTGAAGGTTGGGGTGGCTGTGGCAATTTTCTTAAAATAAGACAATGAAATTTGCTGCATTCAATTGGCTTTCTTTCACAAATGATTTCTCTGTAGCGTGTGATACTGTTTGATAGAATTTTTCCCATGGCTGAACATCTTTCAAAATTGGAACCAATCCTCTCAAATTCTGCTGCTACTTTATTAATTAAGTTTAAGTAATATTCTAAACCCTTTGGTGTAACTTCAACAATCTTCACAGTGTCTTCACCAGGACTAGAGTTCATGTCAAGAAACCATTTTTTTTTGCTTATACAGAAGAAGCAATTCCTCACGCATTCAAGTTTTCTCATGAGATTGAAGCAATTCAATCACATCTTCAGGCTCCCCTTCTAATTCTAGTTCTATTGCTATTTCTACTACTCTGCAGTTATTTCCTCCCCTGAAGTCTTGAACCTCTCAAAGTTATCCATGAAGGCTGGAACTGCTTCCATACTCCTGTTAATGTTGATATTTTGACCTCTTCCCATGAATCATGGATGTTCCTAATGGCATCCAGAAGGGTGATTGCTTTCAATTTATTTTGCCCAGATCCGTCAGAAGAATAAATTTCTATGGCTGCTATACCTTATGAAATCTATTTCTTAATCTATTTCTTCAAAGTAAAAATGAGTGACTCCTTGATCCATGAGTACAGAGTAGTTGTGTCAGTGGGTATGAAAGCGACATTGATCTTGTTGTGTATCTCCATCAGAGCTCTTATGTGTCCAGGTGTCTTGTCAGTGAGCAGTAGGTCTCAACAGTGGGCTTAAAATGTTCAGTAAACCATGTAGTGAACAGATGTGTAACATCCAGGCTTTGTTCCATGTATAGAGCACAGAATGGGTTTAGTATAATTCTTAAGGAAGGGGACTAGGATTTTCAGAATGGAAAATGAGCATAGGCTTCAACTTAAAGTCATCAGCTGCATTAGCCCCTAACAAGAGAGTCAGCCTGTCCTTTGAGGTTTTGAATCCAGGCATTGACTTTTCCTCACTAGCTGTGAAAGTCCTAGCTGGCCAACTTCTTCCAAGAGGCTGTTTTGTCTACATTGAATATCTGTTTAGTGTAGCCACCTTCATTAATTACCTCAGCTTCATTAATTATCTAGACTTTCTAGATAGCTTGTAGTAGCTTCTACATCAGCCCTTGTGCTTCATCTTGCACTTCTCTGTTATGGAGACAGCTTCTTTCTTTAAACCTCATGAACTAACCTCTGCTAGCTTTCAACTTCTCTTCTTCAGCTTCCTCATGTCTCTCAGCCTTCATAGAATTGAAGAGAGTTAGGGCTTTGCTCTGGATTAGGCTTTGGCTTAAGAGAATGTTGTGGCTGGTTTGATCTTCTATCCAGAACACTAAAACTTTCTCTATAACAATAATAAGACTATTTGGCTTTCTTATCATTTATGTGTTCACTGCAGTACCACTTTTAATTTCCTTCAAGAATTTTTCCTTTGCATTTAAAACCTGGTTAACTGTCTGGTGCAAGAGGCCTGGATTTAAGCCTACCTCAGCTTTTGACATGCCTTCCTTACTAAGCTTAATCATTTTTAGTATTTGATTTTAAATGAGAGACATGTGACTGTCCCTTTCCCTTGAACAGTTAGAGGCCATTGTAGGGTTTTAATTGGCTTAATTTCAATATGACTGTGTCTCAGGGAATAAATAGGAAGGTTTGAGGAGAGGGGGAGAGATGGGGTAATAGTTGAAGAATGGGTCAGTGGAGCAATCAGGACAACACATAACAGTTATTTATTATTTGCCATTAAATGGGCATGGTTCTTATTCTCCAAAACAATTACAACAGCAACAAAGATCACTGATCACAGATAACCATAAAAAGTAAAATACTAATGAAAAAATCTTGAAATACTGTAAGAATTACTAAAATGTGACACAGAAATGAAGTGAGCCAATAATGTTGGAAAAATGGTGGCAACAGATTTGGCCTGATGCAGGGTTGCCCCAAACCTTCAATTTGTAAAAAAAAAAAAAACACAGTATTTGTGAAGCACAATAAAGCAAAAGATAATAAAATGAGATATGCCTGTATATGGTTGAGAATAGGTTCATTGATCTCATCATGCTTCCACATATTTGAATTGTTTTACCCAAGATTTTAGCTAACTACAGAAATAGGCAAAATACTCAGACTGTATGACTCTAAACTTTCAGCAATGACTATGTTTTGCTATAGTAACACATAATTTATATGGCCATATAAATTTTGTGTATAGAAACCTCAGACTGTTGGAGTTTATTTAATGTTAAAAGAGATCAGTATAATTTTCAAAAAGAAATCTTATGGTATACATTAGTCATACATTTCAATTTTATCTAAAAAATAAAATATTGATAAGCAACAGACTAGGGAAGATACTTTAGTCAAATACATTTTATTATTACAAACACATTGTATTATTAAAGTTATTCAATTGTGTAATTATCAAAGAAAATTAGATTTGACTGATGAGATAATCTTTCTCAAAATTATAATTTTCAGTTACCCAGTTTATCTTTGATAGCTTTTATGTTGACATATATTTGTCAAAGTGCCTTACTTTGCACTTGTCTCAAAGGTCTTGGTAGCTGGTGACATGTCAACATTATTTTGGTTTAGACACTAAAAAAAAAGGAATTTAAAAAAGTAACAGCACAGGCATTGAAATATGATTGATACTAATCTCTTGAAAAATAAGGAAAAGTATATGGGAACACAGTAGGGATCTATCGTATCTGTCAACACTTCATACATATGTTGAAGATACAAGGAAGTAGATGGTGAAGCTTTAAAATGGATACAACAGGAAAAGGCACATAAACAGAGGCACAGATGGCTGGAAGGAGACCTTCAGATGAGTGATTTTTGGGAAAAGTCTTATTTCTATTTAGGCAGTTGAGATAGAAACCATGGATTGTTTGTTCTGATAAGAGCAGTAGAAAATCAGAAGTAGAGAAGGTGAATGGGATAAAGAGGTACAAATTTCCATTTATAAAGTAAATAAATCATAGGGATGAAAAGTACAGCATAGGAAATATAGTCAATAATATAGTAATAACTCTGCTTGCAATAACTTTGCCACATGGTAACTACCCTTACTGTGGAGAGCATTTTGTAATGTATACAATTATCAAATCATTCTGTCATACACTTAAAACTAATATAATGTTGCATGTCAA